GATCCATACTTTCTGTCAGGCCCGGCATGGTTAGGTGGTTAGGGCGCTCGACTCACAATCTGTGGGTCGCGGGTTCGAGTCCCCATCACACCAAACATACTTGCCCTTTCAGTCGTGGGGGCATTATAATGTGACGGTCAATCCCACTATTCGTTGGTAAAATAGTTGGCGGTGGGTGGTGATTACTAGCTTCCTTCCCTCTAGTCTTACACTGCTAAAGTAGGGACGGCTAGTGCAGACTCGTGTAGCTTTTTGCGAAATCCGTAACAAACAAACGCTATGAAAGGTGTAACATACGATGAGTTTCTAAATCGGGTAAAAATGGACCAATTTATGGCTGGCCACATCATCAGCCTATAGTTAATGACAATGCTTCCAACGGATCCACTACGTGATCCTCCTTCGTTCGTCGTTGCATCTGTTTTTCAGACAAGATCCCAGTAAACCTTCAGCATATAGCTCTAAGCCCTGCTAATTGTGACTGGAACTTGGCAACTTTTCGGCATGTCATCATCGACCACCACTATTCCCTCGATTACCTGCATGTGTAAGGTTCCAGTATCTTCGATTTGTAACCTGCGATCACGATGGACTCTTTGTCAGCCTATGTTGAGGTAAATCCATTTGTCGAGCTCAAAGATGCTGTGACAGCACTATCAGAATATGAATAACAAGGTCTCCAACCTCAAGTAGTCAATGAAGAACAGTTGAATAACTTGATATAAAAATAAAAAAAGAGAGAGGATCAATTCTTGTGTGTGACCTTCGCTGGTAAGTTAATGTTGCAACTACGAAACCATGTGTTTCTTTGTCTGCTCATAACTTCCTACTGAAATACATTACCATCATATGAACTGCATATTTAAGTACAGGAGATTCTGGACTTTCCAGCAATGTAAGCAACATCTCCACAAAACAAATAGCGAAGTTTCTTGTTCCTTTCCCTGCCATTACACTGCCTCTGAATGAGAGATTCTGTGTTAAATTGAAATAATGCCAACAGAAAGCTGCCACCATGCGATATGAGAACATGATGAATAAGCGCAATTGTCGTTATCTTTCCGTCTTCTATTCGTCAAGCAGGTATTAAAAATCTGATTTAGAAGGTTCGGATGTACAACTGTAAGTTAAAGACAGCCATAACACGAAAACAACCTTTATGTGGCAGAGAGCACAAAATCTACAAAGGTCTGTTAGATCATTTTCAGCTCAACGATAAACCCTTAATAACAGAGAAACTTTCGTCTCTTTTGGTCTAATTTTTCTATTGTGTAAAATCGGGTTTCTTTCTTTCAGTATGCTTCTTTTATTCAATCTTTCTTCACGAAATTAAGCTCCAACAACAACTAGTACCATCTACCACATCTTCACCATTTATTATTGGTTCTACACATCAACAACAAGTAATGTTGTCTACCACGTCTTCACCATTTATTATTGGTTCCACACATCAACAACAATTAATGCTGTCTACCACGTCTTCACCATTTATTATTGGTTCTACACATCAACAACAATTAATGCTGTCTACCACGTCTTCACCATTTATTATTGGATTCACACTCTAGCAACAATTAATGCTGTATATATATATATATATATATACGTGTGTGTGTATTTGGAGTCTCCAATACAGGACCAAACTGGATATTCTTCTGGTACTTTTTATCAACATTCCTATTATTTCGGATCGATTAAATTTAAACCAATACTTCTTGGACTCCTGACAACCAGTTAAACAAAGTTTGTAAAACCCATTAATTAATAAAATTGATATTTAAGAAAAACACATTTTACCGACGTCTGGTGGCTTGAAAGGACACTGCGTTGTGTTTTAATACTTCATGATTTCACCATGAAAATAAACTTAACTGAACGGCATTAGCAGTATGACTACTACTAATATGGCTGGAAAATCTGCTCTTGAAAGCCGTGCACTAGTTAACTATTTCCCGAAAATCAATACTGCGCACGATCACGGAAATTTCTAATCATTGAATTACATGGACCAAGGCTTTCACAATAGGTCTGATACTGGGGATCCACCATGAGACCAGATGACGTAAAGTAATACAAGTTTAGCTTTCTTTTAACGTAGAATACGTCTCTCCATGAAATAAATTAGCAAATAAAGATATCAAAAATGTACCATTCTCTGTCAAACGATCTGTCTGGTATCACATTACATCCAATTCAAGTCAGTTAAATCACCTTAGCTGATATTTACACTTCTTCTGTGTGGTTAACTATTTCAGTATCCCGTTCATCGTCAAGTTGTTAAACATGTGTGATTGATTAGATATACGCTGCTTACAAATTAATCTATTTTTCATCTCTTTAAACTGTCGACTGTATACAACACCAGTGTTTTGTCTGTTTTATCGCAAAGCCACATAGTAAGCTAAGTTGTGTCCACCTTGAGGATCGAACCCTCAGACTATCGTTGTAAGTCCGAAAACTTTCTCATTTCTAAGTCCATTCCAAAGGACACAAACGCACACACTGTATATAGTCTGAACAGTTAACTTACAAACTTAAATAAAGAATAGATTTATTGCACACATTACGACAGACTGAGCGTGTATATATACGAGTTATAACAGATTTAGTATATTGACAGGTTTATCTACAATTGACCTAAACTTCACATGCGCTGCCATTACGATAGTGAAAGAAAACGCGCGTCTC